TGTGATTGAGTCTTACAGTAACTGGAGATATGAGTGGTATAAAGGTGGAAACAACAGTGTAATGTTACAGACATCCGAGCGTTACACTGTAAACAGAGACACTCTCACTATCAGAGGAGCTACTGAGTCTGATCAGGGTCAGTACTGGTGTAGAGGACAGAGAGATGGAAGACCAAACTCATCACAATCAAGCTCTGTTTCTCTCACTGTGACGGGTGAGTTAAATATCATTGTTCTCACGCTACTACATAGGGTCGGGTAACGATAACGATAATTAATTTATCGTGATATAAGTTTCCTCGATAAAACGATAACAAGAGTTCTATAAATGTTCGATATAATGTTTAAACAGCAGCGCAGCGTGAGCTCACAAGAGCAGATGTGTTACTCGTGACACTAAACAGCTGTGAGATCCAGAGTGAAGCTTCAATTCAAAGAAGAACACAAATGACTCGCTGATTTAAACTAGATTCAAACCAGATGAAACAGCGCTGACAAACAAGAGAAACACTGTGCGCAACGATACAGTCAGAAGACTTTTCAATCCACAAATCACCATCATTTACCATGAAGTTACTGTAGTAACGCTAAATGCACCATGGTATTGTGGCAGATATGTGGGATATTCATATCGAATTTTATTACATAATGTAGACATTAATTAAATGTATTAAATGAGTAATGGAATATAATTACAGTCTTTATTTGTTATTAATTTATAGCGTTTGTGCATTTATACTAAATATATTTAGACTACTGTTTTTCATTCTAGAAACCATAGACACATAGTTAAATGTTTACCATGGTATTGAGGTGCTGTATGTGTAGTTTTAACTGTGGTTATGATGATCTAGAACAGTGGTTAAAAGTCAAACAGTCAGAATAATTAAATTTCACTATATAATTAAATTGTTAGAATAATTACAGATGTTACTGATTTTGATAATGAACATAAATTTACATCTGCATCTTAACTCAAGCCAAATGTGCATTTCTAAGAGACAAAATAATAATAATAATAATAATAATAATAATAATATTGCAGCCTGCACTGCAAACTGAGCTGAAGATACATGTCAAAATCAGGCAACACAAACCTGTTTCATAATTTGATTCAATATCACTCATTAGAACATGTAGAAACTAATAAATTAATTTTTCTAATAAAATATTTATTTTGTTAAGAAAAAAATGACTGGAAAAGTTTAAAACCACAATTAATGGTCTGGTTTCTACTTTCACTTATGGAGCAGAAATTTGCCTTTAAACTTGAAAGAAATAAAGATTTGAAATTTATCATGATAATTTTTTTTTGGCCATATCACCCAGTCCTACTACTACATGAACACACACACTGTCCAGATTTCAGCTCAACAACAAAAAATTTTATTTTGTAAACTTATTTCAAACTGGAAGTCTGATCAAACTTTGAAGGAAGGTCTCTGTGGTTTTGGTTGATAATTATTATGCATCGCACATTTTAGTAAATGTAGTCAGTCATTCTATGGAGAAACTTCTGTTCACAGTCCACCTCAGGCGTCAGAGGCTGAAATTCTGTACACACTTTACATATAAACTGCAGACATAGTGAGGGTCGTACAGTTGTGTGCTGAACCAATCCCCTCAATCTGTGGTGATTAACACAAAGGCCAAGTATATACTGCAGCTAAATTCAGTTCAGAATGCAGTTGTCAGTTTTGTAAATAACAAACTTTGTTTGTAAAAAAGAGTGTTATGATAAAGACAGCTTGTGTACAGTGATGGCAGCACATGGTTTAAAAGCTTCATCTTAAAACAATGAATGTGACTTCAATGATGGCACTTATTTGTCCTAGTTGTGCCTGAAAATCTAATTTCATAAGGTTACAGAATCAGAATCAGAATCGGAAAGAGCTTTATTGACAAGTGTTTACACACACAAGGAATTCGTCTTGGTGTCAAGAGCTTCCAGTACAGAAAGTACAGACATAGTGCAGCAGACATACATATAATTTAAGGTAATAAAACACTAATAATAAAGAGAATAACGTAATAAAATATAGATAAAAAAGAAAATATCAATAGACAGATTAACTTTCCATAAATTAAATTATTCCCACCTTAAGCCCAAAGTACCAGAGATGTAAAAGACAATCAGCTTAAAGTTCAACCAATATGGGTTTTTAATGGTCGATTCTTAAACCATTTTTTAATCATTAAAGGAATAATTTGCCCCCTCAAAAAAGTAAACCTTGTTTACAAACACTTAGATTGTTACAAACCTGTTTGACTTTCTTCCCTGGAACACAAATGGCATTATTACAGCTGAATGTCCTGCCTGCTCTTTTCAGTACAATGAGAGTGAATGAGGATCAGGGGCTGTGTCAAAAAGGACAAAAATCACTATTACATTATTGATCACTATGGCTGTTACACCAAAAGTATTAGTTGAACATTTATTTCTTCATGACAGCATGACTTGACAGCACCACCAATCTTTCAATAAATTTTGATGCAAATTACCTTTACCTTTTACCTATTAATCATGTCTCAATCAGAGCATAATAATCTAATTAAAATGTACTTGTAAGTGTCATAGTGATGCCAAATGACAGGAACTGCATGTTTAACTGGGTTTCATCTCTGTCTCAGGTGTCTCTCCTTCAGTGTCTCTGGTGGTCAGTCCCAGCAGAAGTCAACACTTCTCATCTGACTCTCTCTCTCTGAGCTGTGAGGATCAGAGTAACTCTGCTGGATGGACAGTGAGAAGATACACAGACAGAAACACAGAAGATTGTTCAAAACTAACAGGATCTACATGTCGAATCGACTCCCTCAACACATCTGACGCTGGAGTTTACTGGTGTCAGTCTGAATCTGGAGAGAAACGTCATCCTCTCAACATCACTGTTCATGGTGAGTCCTGTTAGATCAAGTCTTCGCATCATAATTTTCTGATCCGACCCCGGATGCCTGATCCTGCTAAAACCCAGTCTGCAGAGTTTCGTCTGACACCCCAAATCCATAAACAGCAAGTCCTGCCTGGTTCCCAAAACTGTACTAACAGTCTTCTGTCAGCCAAGAAGCTGACAGAGAAAGCCACAGAAGAGCAGAAGCAAGAGACGAATAATGATGATAAAACATGAGCAGAATTTATTGATTAATGTTAGTTGCATTTATGTTTCAGTGCTCAGACTTTGACCAGCACAAACAAGCAATAGCAATGAAAAAATTACTGCTTCACAACACTGTCCTGTGACATTAAAAACCTTGAATTTGAGTCATTCTCTTACTCATGAAGACAAATATCCCTTGATACCACAAAATCATAAGATTAAACTTAGAGATTAAAGATGAAAGAAAATTATAATAGTATAATATAAAATAAAATGATTGATCAAATGAATGAATCAGTGAAAACAGTGAGTATATATGGTTAACTAATTATTATAAATGATGTATTGTTTCTATGTCTGTACAATATGTGTCACCATCATCTTCCTACATGCATGTATCTCTTGTGTTGTGTAGATGGTGATGTGATTCTGCTGAGTTCTGCTGATCCTGTGATTGAGGGAGATACTCTGACTCTACACTGTTTACATCGATCTACAAACTCCCCGATCCTCAGAGCTGATTTCTATAAAGACGGATCCCTCGTCCAGAATCAGACGACAGGAGAGATGAACATCACGACTGTCTCAAAGTCACATGAGGGTTTGTACTACTGTAAAACAGAGAGAGGACAGTCTCTGCACAGCTGGATCTCAGTCAGAGGTGAGAGTCAGTGGAGTTCAGTCACTGTCAGCTGATTCGATTTCATTCATGAGCATTTGTTCAGATAGACCACATGATTACTATATATCTTTGGCTCTTATTTCTGGTGGAGCACAGATAATTATTGACAGCTGTGTTTATTATTTGACACGATTCACATGAATAAAAGTACACCTATCAAATGACATACAAAATACACTGAGATATAGTGAAATCATCAACACCTCATAACCAACGTCTTACATTTCAATGAAATGAAGAGTGTTTTAACTGCAGAATTAGAATATAATCAGATCAAACATGTTATTGACTTTCCTGCCGAGATCTGACTGTCCATAAATTATTTATTTATTTGAAATCAGCAGGAATGAATCTGATTGTGGTCATATATGGTGTGAGGAAGATTAAACATTAAAATCAATTAATTAAAAGGCTTCAAAACATCTTCTTTTCTGTTCAACAGAGAAGAAAGAAAATCATGCAGATTTAGAACAACATGGGGGTGAGTAATTTTTGGCAGAATATAAATTTTTGGGTGAACTATTCCTTTAATACAGAGCTCCCAAAGGAACATGATGGTGGAATAAAAATGAGATGGGAGGAAAAAAGTATATCTTTTGCTCACAAAACATCGGGTTCCCTGAGAAACTTCCTGAAAGCCTTTAGGAGCTCCGTAATGTTGCTCAATAATGTGCTTGTGTTTCTGTTTTTCAGTGTCAGTCGTCAACATCCTCAGTTTTCTTCTGGCAGCTTGTCCGTATCTGCTGGCGACAGTCGTGCTGCTTTTCAAATGCTGCAGAGCGAGAGGTAAAACTTCTGTCTGATCCGTCTCTCTCAAATGATTTACATTCCCTCTTTGACAGGCATACCGTATTTTCAACATATGATCTGATCATTAATTGAAACAATAACTGCAGTGGAAACAGACAGTGTCCAATTAAATTTTGGAAATAAACGTTTTGTGTGTGTATTTCACAGTTACATCGACTGAAGATCAAAGCCAGTGAGCTGTAACAGAGGAAGAAACTTCAAGCTGATGTTCCATCCATCCATCCACCAATCATCTTGTCCTCTGTAGGGTCACATTATGCTGGATTCAACCCCGGCGTCTCGAGCTGAAGGCATGGAAAAACCCTGGATGGATGGATGGTTCACTCATACCTACAGACAATTTACTGTCTCCTGCATATGTTTAGATTGTGGGGGAAACCGGAGCACTTAGATGAAGCTCACACCAACACATGGAGAACATGCAAACTCCACACTGAAAGGGCTCCTGGCTCAGTCGGGACTCAAACTGGGACCTTCTTGCATTCTGAGCCTTAAATGAGTCTTAAATGTTGAAAATAAAATGTTAAATGTGTCTGCAGAAGACCAAAGCTAGTATGCTGTAATTCATCTACATATTATTACTATCAACATATTTTATATACACATTAACTCGTCTTTAAACATGGTTTGATAATGTTGTAATTTGTTTTGATTTCATATGCTTTAAATGAGATTTTTTTAGAAACTTAAAAAGGTTCAGAAGCTTTATCATGTGTGATTTTTGTCTGTTCATATATTGAAAGCTTGATGCTTTGTTGTCTGCTCTAGATTACTTGTTTGAGTAATTAGTCAACATGCATATAATTGTATTCTGTATCACGTTCTGTATGAATGAATGAAATTAATAAGGGTGTATTCCAGAGAGCATAATAACTATATCTTGTTTATGTAATCCAAAAACAATGTCATAGTGTCAGCCACAATCGAATGATGAACCTGTAATGAAATCTTTTGAAGGCGTTTCATCATTCAAATTCATTGTAATCTATTGAAAGTGTTTAATAAAAATTAAATACATTTTAAAGCAGTTTTCTAACAGGCCTACGAATGAGAAATGTTGAATGTGATTGTCAGTAAAAACTGAGAAAGAGGCGTCAATAATATCTGATTAAAACTGTATAGAATGTGAGGAACACCAGGTTCATTATGACATTTGAAGAAAGCAGACCTCCACCAACAACTCTTCTAATTATGACTGAGAAACGTTTATATTTAAATACTACTACTAACAATGTGAATTACTTTTTGTCTATCACAGAACAAATACTCTATCTTTATATAAGGCACATTTTTAGATTGAAATTTTAATACAAAACACATCAAACAGTCTCATGCTAAAACACAAGCTAGCTATCCCAGTGTCTGTTAAGCCGGGCTCACACTACAGGATTTTTGGCTGGATTTTGCTGTCGCGGACAGATTTGCACAGTCTGCGACAAAACCCCCGGATCGTGACCAAATCAGTGATCGTTGCAGTCGCCGAAGCTCGTTAAGTATGAGCAGGTCAGCAACATGATCCGAACCTGTCTCGAGCTATCACAGACGCTACAATATTTTCAAACCTGTTTGATATTATCGCCACGTGATCTCATAATGTGAGCGACACAATTGAGCATGAGCTTATCATGCATCTTTATGAACAGAAACGAAAAGCCAAAAATGCATCAAATCAACTAACTAGAAATAAATTTAACAAATGCACATATTTTGTGTTTATAATACCACGTTTCATTGTACTGTTTAATTACCTCCAACTCTTTCTGCAGTACTGACAGTCCACATCTTCCAAGCCATTGTTTCTGCCATATTCTCTTTTGTCCTGGTTTCTTCTTTCTTTCGGGTAAAATAACTGCACAGACCAATTGAAGGGCCAGTTGATTGTCCATGCTTGAAGAAATGGCCTATAATCGCTGTAATTTCTCGCGAGAATTTATGTGAGAAAACGTATTTTCGCTGATGGTCGGGAACGCCTCTTCACTGAATGTTTTGTGGCGTGTGCAACTCAGAGTTGTGTGGTGTAGTATGCGCGCAGCTATGACAAGACGACGACAGATGAGAACAAATCTTGTTGCGTAGTGTGAGCAAGACAGTGATTCGGCTAGTCTTTCAATCCTGTAGTGTGAGCCCGGCTTTATTTGTAAAGTAAAAATCTCCCCGCAAATGACCTACCATATTTCGCCGAACACTGAGGTCCTGTGATAATATTAGTCCCGTGCGAATCGGGATTTCTGTGATTTGGCCAGCATTTGGCGGCTCGTATATCATTTTTCGAGGTTTTTGTTTCCTGTGCGCCTTTTTATCCATCTTTCGCGAAGAATGGAGCTGCGTTGGAGTGTTTGATAGTATTTTGGGTGCTGTTTTATCGCTACACCATAGAATTTGCAGAAAGAGAAAGCTGAAAAAGTTTTGAGGTTAATGTGTTACAAATACACATTAACCTCAAAATGTGGGGGGGGGGATTTCAAAATCACACAAGGTCCCCAGATAATACTAATCCCGTGTGAATATCATCTGATTTTCAAAATCAGCATCTGATTTTAACAGTACTTAAGTATTTTACTTATACTAAATATAGGCTCAAAAATGCACTAGTGAAAAAGACATGCCAGTGAAAAACTGTAATGTTGTGGAGAAGCTGGGGGAAAAGGCAGAGTCCAGGATCTATGTGCAGGTATTTAATGGAAAAACTAGAACAAACAATAAGCCAAAAACCAAAGGGAACAAAGAACAGAATAGTGATGTTACATACAGTGCAAATTTGTAAATTGCGAGGTCCCGGAACAAAGAGGGGTAACGGATCCGGCATGTGATTACAGGAGGGAGAGGTAACGGAGCATTCGCGCAATCATATTGGTGGACCAGTTGAAGTGATTAACAGCGTGCATCAGTTGCTTTTAGGGTCCGTACGGTCACGAATAACCTGGAAAAGCCATACGAATTTTAAAACAGCAATTTCCAGGCCTGAAAAAGTTTTGAAAAAGTTGTGGAATTTTATTTTACAAATCTCTGTATAATATAATCAGGGTTATATTTAATGAGGTCCTAAATTTCGGTGGGGCATTGTATGTGGCTATCGCATAGTTTTACTCATTCCCGCAGCTTTCAAGTTTATAATGAGGGAAATTCCTGAATTTATTCAATATAGCATGTAGGTAACATGAGATGATTACACAAACTATAAGATTAAATCAGTCATTTGAAACCATGAACTCTCTCAGAGCGCACTTCACATCAGCGCATCTTGTCTGCACTACAACGAGCTGCTGCATGCTGCGATACAAGACTTTCACTCGCATTTCGGGACAGCTGACAGAACTGTCACTTGACTAATCGGGTCATTGTTGCATTGTCACAAAAATGTATAATTTTCACATCTTTTTAAGTATTTTAAGTAGGGATGCACCGATACCACCTTTTCCAGTACTCGCCCGATACCGATACTTTTATTTTTGGTACTTGCCGATACCGAGTACCGATACAAATATTTGTATTGCATTTGTAAATTTTTTAAATATTGGGTACAGAAACCAAAAGAGTATGTATAATGTTAGTTGGTTAACTTCATTTATCAAATAGATACAGTCAAACCAAAATTTATTCAGACACCTTATCGGGGCATTTTAACGAGTACGAGTACAGAAGCTCAGTATCCGGCCCGATACCGATACTGGTGCATCCCTAATTTTAAGCCATTTGGTACTCGCGCGCTCCAGAGGCTGTATTCTGTGCGCTCACACAGTCAAGTCACATACAAAGTCCACCTCGCGAGTATTATATAAGAGTTATTTTTCGTAGTTTGTTGAGCTTAAGCGACCAAATACACACAAAATGATGTCTAAATGGCGAGTATCCTCTTTAGCACAGTAGGTTCCTAAATGTAAACAGTTGAGAAAGAAAACGCATGTGGATCCGTGCATTTGGTCTTGTGTGAGCAGCCATTCACATGTCGCGTCTTTTGCGCGCTGAAGTTTGTTATTTCAAATGTAGATGTGCGGCAAGCGCGCTCATAATAGAAGATTTTTCATGAAACATATCCACTCTATAGGTTTGTTCGAACGTCTTTCAGTAAATAAATAAAATAAAATAAACATAAAAATAAAATATTTGGCATATGCAATTCATTATTGTGTACATTATTCTTCTATTACATCATATTGATATTCATATTGACATTTAATGCCACCTTTTAATGGGCAAATTATTTTATCAGAGAGAGAAATTCCACAAACAGACACACTGTTAGGCTTTTATTTGTGCACATAACATGAGTCGATCTATGGAATTTGTGGTCGCTGCTTCGTCCTACGGAGTGTCTTTCACAGGCTTTTGGCTGCTATATTTTTTTTATTAACCACCAGATGGCGCTGTTTTTGACACTCGCAAAGCTTTGAATCTTTTCCCGAAACAGTCAGAGGAAAGCCTCAGCGCTTCATGAGGCTTCATTTGCCCATCACTAGAACAGAATGACTGGCAAACAGACAACCATTACATTCGACAACTCACAAGGAACTAAAGAAAAACTAGGTCTATATATATACGCACAGGCAGCTAACAAGCTTAACAAGATAACAGGACACACCTGGGGAGACTAATCAAGGGGACCAATGAACAAACGGACTACAAATTGACTACAAACACCACAGGAGACAGGAAGTGACATAAAAGTCCAGGTCAAGGCACATAGAGCATGAAACAAAAACAAGAAAGAGTTGATTTGTGAGGAGAGCAATCACGTGTATTTTCTAAAACCAAAATAAAACTGAACACCTCAAAATAACAAAAAACAAAAAAAAACAATATCTTTAAAAAAGGTCTCTTCAGTATAATGGATAAATAAAATAGTGTTAAGTCAAATTAAAAAGCTGAAGCCTTCTTGCACTGGCTGTGCTGGTTTGGGCCTCATTACCGGCTGCAGTCATGTCCTCATCTCATATATAAAACACCTCTGATTCACAAATACTTGTTAAAGAACTCGCATTCACGTACAGTAATTAATTACATTTACTCCAATACTTTACACCTCACTAAGATTCTCCTAAATAGCAGTTAACGTTTTTAGCTAAGAGTTTTCTCTTAAAACCTATTCACAAAGCTGCTGAGACAAACTTTTACTAAGGAATAGAGAGAAGTCTTAAGCTAAGAGTAAGGGCGGGGTTGACCTTGTTGCTATGGATGATGTCAGCATGCGTACTATCTATGCACACAGTGATTGGCTGATAGTCTCTGTCAGAGATTTATTAATAGAAATATTGCAGAGCGCAATGTTATATTGCCTTATTCAAATAAAGGTTTAAAAATAAAAATGTTAATTT